TGATTTGTTTTTATAACTATTAATTGCAAAGCTTACTTTATTGATTAGCTTTTATTTTCGCTTGGAAGTTAGTATTTAGCTTTTTTTAGCCTTTGTTAATTAATAATTTTAATAGTCATTAAATTTCCTACTAATTTCAACATTATTTAAAATTGTGTGTCAAAGACAATTTAAACACTTCCTTCTTATTTTAAGATTGTCAGAGACAAGACAATCGCCCACAAAGACATGTTCACGCGGTTAAAGCGTGGAAAAATTATAAAAAGTATATATATAATATTATATATCTATACACTTTTCTTTAGTTTAAACTTTACTTGTAATAAAATAAAGCATTATAATTTTTATTGTATCATTTCTAATATTTGGCGGCACACAAAAGTGCCGCGGCAGAGTGGTTGAGAATCACTGGGCTAAAACATTCCCCCAAAATATATCTATAAATCTCATGTATTTTTTAATAAAAATTTATTAAAATATGGCATTCCTACAATTAGTTCAAACTCTCCCCATATCTTGTTCAAATTTTCAATCGTTAATAAAATGCTTTTTATTCATAAACTCAAATTCAAATTCATTTTTTTTAAACTTTTAGTGGATTGCACTTGATATTATTCTTCAAATGTTAATTCGTTCATTAATTAGGGGTGAGTGAAAAATGAAATGGAATTTTCTGATGGGTGAAGTCATTGTTTTAAATTTTACTATAAGCGATTCAGTTTTTCATATATTTTGAAAATAACATCAGTGATAATTTCTAACTTAAAGTTCTATTTGAACAAAAAATTAATTCATTACTCACATTTAAATATTTAATTATTTTGTATTCGCTGTGTCATGTAAACTCAATAAAGAACATTAAGTGGTAGCACGTGTGGTCCACGCCACCCAATTTATACTTTTACAGTTGTCTTATAACACGCGTTTTTTTTTTTTTCATTTCCTACAATTAGTTCACACTTTCCCTATTTATATATTTACTAGGGGGCTAAATCCCCTGTTCACTACCGCTCACCAACCCTAGTGATCGCTTCGCAATAATTGTTTTTTCTTGGCGGAAAACAGTTTTTGTACTAAAGTGAAAATTATTCACTTAACATACATGTACTAAAAGGAATTCTGTCTGCTTACGCTGGCGCCTCTACTTTCCACGCCCAAATATTAATATCAAATAGTATTATAAACATTTAGATCTCTTGGTGAACAGAAGTGATTTTTCGAAGTAATCAGTTTTTAAAATAACACTTATAATCTTATAACGTTCTATTGTTCAAACAAATTTGATGAGTTCACAAGCATAATTTATAATTTTTGCTAATAATAGCAGTACTGGAAAATAACCTTAAATTAGGGATGCAAAAATATTTAAAGGAAAACAGCACCTTTACGACTTTTGTTAATTTTATGCTGATGGCAACCAAAACAACTGGATCCTTTCTAGTGATTTTTAGGCCAATAAATATGCACGGACAACAATAAAAAACTCTGACATCATAATTAGACATACTCAAAATAAAATAAAAATTGTTATATTTATAATTGTTATCTATCATCATTATTAAAAATTTTAACCTTTTCACACACATGCGTTCTCAATTTTAATTGGCTGTTTTGTGCGTTACTTACCACAAGTGTTCTGCGATTGGTTATGTGTTATCATTTCACTCTCTTCTTATATTATATAAAGACATATTTTGTTCAGATTTTCAATCGTTAATTCATCCACCCAAGTTAAAATACATTTAATTCTTAATTCATTGTTAAATTTAATTAGTTAGTTTTATAGAAGAGAAAAAACTTAATAAAAAGTAACCAAATTAATTTTTCACCTTAGGTTGGAATTGATTTTATATTACTTGTTTAAGACGGGAGTAGAAAAACCCATATGAAATATGCATGCACTTAACTGTTATACATCGAGTTCAAGCTAAAATACTTATCAATTACTCAATAAAAAAAAACATTTAACTCTTGTTTACTTTTCACAAAGCGTAAACAACAAAACACAAAGGAAGAGGGATTTTGTGATATGAGATTTTTAAGAAATCTATCTGATCCTGAAAATCGGAGTTTTCCCCCTAAGCGATGAAGGGTGAAGCGGTTCAATATCAACAGGGCAGAGAGAAGGAATGAATCTGTAACACACACCACACAAAAACCAAAAGACTTCAGAAATATTCCACACTTACCTCTTTCGTTTTTAGGCACCCCCACAGAGGCACAAAGTACCCCCCAGGACAGGACCAGGGCACATATTTTCAACCTGGGATTCATCATCTTTTATTTTAGGGTCGCCGAAATAAGGTCTCCAGCGGCCGATCGTCTGCCCGCGTCCTCTTCTGTCGGGCTCGATCCCGCGCTTCCAGCACAGGACGCGGTGCGCATGGCCGTCGAAATGTTCTGTTCGAATGCTCCAAGAGGAAAGATGGCGGATGAGAAAAAGCTACTCTCCACGTGATAACCCAGCTTTATATATATATCCTGGAAATCTTCCCGTTTCTCCCGTTTTCTCCGCCCTCCAGCATGGATTGCATTCTCCAGGTCCCGGATTGATCCATAAATCAGATCGTTTGGAGCGCCCCTCTCTCCCCCCTCATTGAATGCCTTTTTTGTTCGTCATCCTTAAGTGCATTGTTATCCAGAAAACAAGGGAGAATAGATGAAACAGACACCTCATCTTGATTGTTTTCCCGAATTTTTCCGGTTTCTTTGTTTTCGTTCCCGACCCATGGTGTGGCGCGCTCTGCAATTTGTTTTGTATTTATTTTCAATGGAACTCTGTTTTTTGGTTTTACAGATATGATCCAATGGACGATTTATATTCTGGAAATATGTTTTGAAATCGAATTTAAATAGAGCAATTTGAATAAAAAAACGTTAAACATTTGGGGCTAGTAAAACAGACGCGCAATTTGTCGGACGGTTGGAATTGAAGACGCATTTTCTTTTCTTTAGACCGCTCTTAATATACCTTTACGTCCGGATAATAAGTTCGTTATATGAAAAATTCGCTAAATAGAGAATCACCTTTTTAAATACTTAAGCAACACAAAACCAGTTTTAAATTCATAAACACTAGATATAATTAGAATAGTAATGGATACATCTTTATCTTGTAAACTAGTATTTACTATTTATATCATGAATCTTAATCATAAAAGAAATCTGCATAGAAAGCAAGAATAGAGCAAAACATACACTTTCGTGCTGCATGCATTTTAAACAGAAAAAAAGGCTAAATTTATGCATGAAATTATAGACGCATTCATTATAAAAGTAATTTTAAACATGCATTACCACATGCGTTTCTTAAGTTAAATTGCTACGGATAAAATCCGTTAATTTGAACTGAGTTTTGCCTTTGAAATGCAAACAAAAAGGGAATTTATTGCTTTCTCTAAGATAATTTTTAGAGAAAACAGTAATGCATTTCATAAATCGGTGGCTTCGCAAATTAATTCAAGGCCATTTCCCCCATAAAATGCTTTAATAAGTTTGAAATGTTTTAAGAAATATTTTGGAAAAAAAAAAGTGGATCTCAATGAAAAAAAAAAGTTCGTTAAATAGAAAATTCACTTCTCTATTTGGAAGTTATTTTTCAAAAAAAAAATTTTCAAAAATGTTCTTGGTTCCTCGAAAAAATTCGTAAAATGGAAGTTCGTTAAATAGAAGTCCGTTATATTGCGCTGTATCAGTTAACTTGGAGGGAATTTAAAAACCTCAACTAAAGTTTCACAAAATAACAAATATTATATTAAATAATAAATACACAATTTATAATTTTAGGTGAATAATATTATGAATAATTTGATATTTATAATTTATTTACATATTTTTTTGAGTTCAAACTTGGAACTAGAAGAATATATTTTACATTTGAGAGTTTCAAAATTTTCAACTAAATAAGTATGGTATTCTCTAGTTCCATTAATTGTTGAAGCTTTCTTAAATCTTGTTTCCAATTTTTTTTTTCATTCTCATGTTCAGTTTTTGTGCAGAAGTCAAACTGAATATTATCGAAAAATTTACATGCCCAATCGAACAATTCTTTAGGTGTTGTTATATTTTGTGTTTGCAAACTACTCTTTCTTGCTTCCCTCTTCACCGTCCCACCAATACCATCGCATGCCCCTTTGCCATGAGAAGCTTAACATTTTTGTAGACACTTCGATGCTTTAATTTGTTCAGCGGGTTGCAGCAATAGTTCACCATTTCTTGATTTTATCTGTAAGTTTATAATTAAATTTCGTGGTAAATATTCAAATCAAATTCTTAGAAATGTAATTCTATGTTTTAAAAAAACAATAATTATTATTAAAGTTGATATTACTAAGTTAAATAACAATTGAAACTTACCTTATTTGATAATTATTATCACGTAGATCAGCACTCCGAACTACCTTAACAAACGCTCGTTACAATTCAAGTATAAACATGAAAAAACGCGCAGCGTGTGAGGTAATCAGCGCATAAATTATAAATAACTAATTATTCATAATATTATTCGTCTAAAATTGTAAATTATCTATTTATTATTTAATATAATGTTTGTTATTTTGTGAAACTTTAGTTGAGGTTTTAAAATTCCCTCCAAGTCAACTGATACAGCGCAATTGAGCGGAGTGGAGTAGCAGAGCCCACCGCGGTGCAGCGTTTCGCGAAAAAAGCTATAACTTTTTATGGAATTGCGATCCATTTTTTTTTTTGAAAGCCATTTTGTTCAGAATAAAATTTACTTTGAAATGGGTTTTGCTTGAACTTTGTACGACATTAACAACATTTTTGTTTTTCATTTTACAACTTAATTTTGCAATAAAAATTAAATTTTTTAAACATTTGTTTTATTATAATTATTTTATCAAAAACTTCAATTATATCCGCGTAAAATGAGATACATTTTTTTAAAATCCATTCATTCTATCCTTAGATATTTATTTTTTAATTAAAAAGAGCTTTAAGATTTAATTGTTAATATCTTGTAAAACAAATTAAATGAAAAAAAAATCGTTTTGGGCTATTGTTTTGTATAATATATACTTCTTAAAAATTATGATATCGAATTTTGGGTGTTACCGCTATTAAAATTTTGACTCGTATACAATTTTTACATCATCTTCAAAAATCTAATTTCACATGGCAAATTGCAAAATTTGAGCGAAATCGATCGAAAAGTTTAGAAATTTGAAATCTAAGAAGTTCGTATGAACATAGTTTGATATCTCGGGAGACATTCTGATTTCGACCAAATTTTGTATTTTGCCTTGTTAAATTTGATTCTTTAAAATTATAAAGAGAAAAAAAAATTTGAATTTTTTGTATCAATTGTATTTTTTTTCCGACTATTTTTAAATAAAATAAAAAATTTACTAAAAGTTATTTTTTGCATGGAACGTTGGATATAACATCATCCCTGGAAACATCATAGCATCACTTCTATGTTAGCAAAACATGCCATCTAAACCATAGTGCATTGCAAACAATGCAGAACTCGATGTTGTCGATCAGTTTAGCGTGTTTCACACATAAACTGGTTCAACCTATTATTATGATCTTTGCAAACACCACTGTAAACTCATTTTTGCGTTTCGGGTCTCCTAACCAAAGAATATACTCAGGGGAAGAAGTGTATAGTTTGTCCAGAGTAAGAACTCCCCCAAGTCATTCGTCTGAACTCATGGCGGTGATTATGGTAGCGAGGAATTTGTAGTATGCTATCTGTAGTATGTGGTCAAATCATGACAAATTTAAAGTATATTTTAAGAAGATCATGGTAAAGAGAAAGTATATTCGCACATAAAATCTGTGCACATAAAATCTGTGCTATCGTTATAAATTTATAAACAGAAAAGAGAAATGTTTTATTGAAATGATAGCATTATTTATGTCAGTTTATGTCAACAATTTATGTCAGTATGATAAGCCGATTCATTTGAGCATTGAAAAATTTATGATTGATGGGGCTTTTTTTAATTTCAAATATAAATTTTGAAACTTATGTTTGAAAAATTTTAAATTTTTAAATAACGGAGAAAATATTACAATACTGTAAAAACAGTTAAAATTTATAAGCTCAGGTTGTATGCGCAACGTTTTGAAATACTTGTCAGAAATAGCCATTTACGCAAAAGGAGGGATATTATTAACATATAAAGGTTTTATGGAGGGAGATTTCATGGATTGTCGAGTTTTATAATATTGAATAATATCCTATCATCTTTTTCGATGTGCATGTCAGATTTATTTAGGATAGTGTCTGCTGAACTTGAACATTTCAGACTCTAAAAGTGTAAAATATTTTATTAGCTAAATTCGAAATGAACGACTGAAGTATAGTCTACTGTCATTTTTTCGATGTGCAACTTAAATATTTATTTAGGATTGCTGCTATTCAGCACTTCTTTTTAATATTATTGATAAGTTAAATTTGAAATGAATAAATAAAATAAATATTTATTTCGAAATTTAAAGAGCTAAATTTTGAAGATAGTATTTTAAAGTTGTATTAATGTTTAAATCCAAGAAAAATTTTTTTAAATTTAAAACCTTGGTTTCATGTTAAAGTGACATTTTAGTAGAGGAAAAAGTCTAAATTCCTTTTTACTTTTGATCTACGTCGAATTTCAATAATTTTTTTACACGAATTACAAATTTCAATTATTCTATCTTGTTAAGGTCTCTTCAACATTTTATTATAAAAGGGACGATTTAAAGAAATATAGTACTTAATTGAATACTGGTTGAATAGGGTGAGTTTCATTTTCCTTTCTCAAACATAATTAAAAACCTTTAATAATACCTCAATACTTTTGTAATAAGATATTTTCTCTGATATTAAAAAAAAGCATACTTTGTAAATCGCGAAAAAGCACTGAAAAATACCTGGAAAAATTGCACCTCCTTAACAATTGCATAAACATATCAGATTTGATTCATGCATTGTACCCGAATTTAAAAAGAATCTAATTACTCAATCGTAAAAAATGAGTCATTGTACAATGTTTTATTTAAAGGAACTTTTAATGCTTTATACATATTTAATTTTAAATAAAATTACATGATATACTATACTAGTATTGTTATACAAAAGGAATTCATTAACAATCGTCTCTCAGGGCCTTGATTGTTTTGATAAGTTAAAAATATTAAAACAATTCAATCAATTAGATATCAATAGAATTTTCTTTAAAATAAAATGTAGTTATAAAAAGTAAACTTTATATTTTATTGAATCACAGTGCAATAAATATAATTATTGAAGCTTTAAACAATTTTAGAACTTCTTAATATAAAGTTGGGAAAGGATAATTTTTTTTTATCTGAATCTTGAAAAAATCTTAGAAAAATATGTTTTAATTTCGAGAAAAGTTTTAGAAAAAATTTACTCAATTGTAAAAATTTCTATAACACAAACGAATAAAAAACAAAGAGTTAAAGATA